TCCTTGGAGAAGGTAAACAACCGTTCAGCTGTAGCATCTTTTCGGTACCTAGCTGCCATGTCAACGGAAGGATGTTTGAGGGCTGGGATACTTCCGGGTTGCCCAAGCCTAGATAGGAGCAGTCGGGATGCTGAGGTGGGGGTCGAACCAGGGAACTGCCGATCCGTAAGCTGGCGCCCTAAACACTGAGCTATCTCGAAAGTAAGCGGATCTCCAAAAAGTCAACAAAAGTGATGTTGAGGTTCCTGATACGGAACTTTGAAAGGAAAAGTCTACGGTACTAGTTACATAAGGCTATACAAATTCATACAACAACGTTCAATTATTCACGTTCCTAGCGTCAACAAGTGCGCAGGTTCGTCACCGACTGGCACAGTGCAGTGTCAACGCCCGCACGCCAAACAACAGTGAGCAGAATGTAGGCTTAGTAGTGTGGGTTGCGGTCGTCCCTTCCGACGACAGTCTCGTGATCCTCATTGACGGTGCGATCACAAGGAACTAATGAGAAAACAAGCTCAGAAAACGGGAGACGAAAGCGCATGGGTAAGCAGGTCAGCTGGATACATTCACACATGCGAATACGCAGGTGTCGGATGAGACGGTCTTTTGGGAAAGGCCAGTAATGGGCCCCACGACCGTTTCCGACCTCATCACGGCCGACAGACTCAGCCAAATTCAGTTCAGTCTCCTGTAAAAATCAAATTTGTTTGCAGATGAGAGTAGTTTCCGGAATGAGTCATAATCGTGTTCAAGAAAATTCATAAATTATCGTTTTGAATCGATTGGTTTCTCTGGCGTTCATGTAAATCTCGACCTTTCTCAGAGCTCGCCTTCAAGGTCATGAGAGCATTCTAACCAAATAGCATAGTTTCGTGATTCATAAATTGAATTTGTAACGCCAGACTGCAGCTGTTTTAGCTCAGCTATCTCGATAGTTAACGACACTGGGTGACTGGCAATCCATCAAGTGATGGGCATTTGTGCTGAGCACGGACCAATCAGGTATTGAATTTTTTCAGGTATGTTTGGCTTAGCGTGCCTCCGATCGTTCAGAGTTCTTGTAGTAGGGTTTGTCCTAACGGACTTGTGCTCTGCACCGTAGAGGTCACAGCGTTGAGAGCTTTTGGAAGCGCTTGTTTCAGTTACCATTTACCTCGTCTGTCACCTCTGGAGAGTGATGCTATGAAATCTGGTTCTGGGGAGATGATCTTCTTCAGTAGATGATAGAGTAGCCGCTATGCCGCAGTGGGACTGAAATAACTTCACTTCGTTTTTCGGGTGTTGGTGAGGTTCCAGTACGTGTTCATAATCTGATCCGTGACCTGCACGTACTGTGATGTGCTGGCTAGCCTGTGTCCTCATTGTGCGCTCCTTGCGCCGCTCTGAATGTCCAACAACAGCTGACAAGTTGAGTCGAACATGGTGTTCTCATGGCACTGATGAGACGAAATAAACGCATGAATACTTCTCACGCTCAAATATTTGTGCCGTGTCGGTAATATGCTGGAATGAAAAAGCACAGTTGATTATATATATGTGCCTTGTCGGTAAGATGCTGGAATGAAAAAGCACAGTTGATCACAAGTGTCACCGTGCCCCCTGTTCGGTCTAGATCTTGTGTTTGCTCCCATCGCAGACGCTCGATGCAGCGATCCAGTCCCAGCTCACTCTTACCGGACAAATGTCAAGTGAGTGGTCAGTCGCGTCCGTCTGACATTCAATTCGGTCAATCCGGGTTCATTCGTAATCGAGGGAGTTCCTTTCCCGAAGAAACAAAACTCTGGAGCAGGCTTTGTGTATCGCTAGACTTACACTGCCTAGTGTGTAATTCTACCATGTAATCTGATAACCCATCTCTTACTATGTAGCTCCTCAGGCGTGCAATACTGTCAATCGGACATGATTCCCACGGAAATCTGATAAGTATTTACTTACTCGTCAATTCAGCTCCCGAAATGCCCTGAGCCGATTAACTCAGATTGCCATATTGGGCAGATAAGATGGGCGTCAATAAACTCAACTCGCCGATGCACTAGGTTCAGGCTAAGACGATTCTGAACTCAAGATGATATTAGGCAACAGTACTGTCTTTTTACCATTTTTACATGACTTCTTTGGTAAAAATTGTATTTTCAAAGATAACTCTGCTTAAAATAGTCCAAAAAAAACAACATTTATGGAAACTTAGAAACTTTGGAGTTGCATTTCAGTGAACTTGATGACACCGAAGTCGTACCCTCTAAGAAAGCCCACCCTGCAGAAGAGACGGTCATTGTTTGTGCATGATGCCTTTAGAAATAGGCCAGCCCAGCAGAGACATGCGCCCTGGTGGCATACCCCGATTGGTAACCGTTGGGTTTCGCAAATATCCGACCGTCTGACATTCAATTCGGTCAATCCGGGTTCATTCGTAATCGAGGGAGTTCCTTTCCCGAAGAAACAAAACTCTGGAGCAGGCTTTGTGTATCGCTAGACTTACACTGCCTAGTGTGTAATTCTACTATGTAATCTGATAACCCATCTCTTACTATGTAGCTCCTCAGGCGTGCAATACTGTCAATCGGACATGATTCCCACGGAAATCTGATAAGTATTTACTTACTCGTCAATTCAGCTCCCGAAATGCCCTGAGCCGATTAACTCAGATTGCCATATTGGGCAGATAAGATGGGCGTCAATAAACTCAACTCGCCGATGCAACAGGGGTAAGACAATTCCGAACACAAGATGATACTAGGCAACAGTACTGTCTTTTTACCATTTTTACATGACTTCTTTGGTAAAAATTGTATTTTCAAAGATAACTCTGCTTAAAATAGTCCAAAAAAAAAACAAAATTTATGGAAACTTAGAAACTTTGGAGTTGCATTTCAGTGAACTTGATGACACCGAAGTCGTACCTTCTAAGAAAGCCCACCCTGCAGAAGAGACGGTCATTGTTTGTGCATGATGCCTTTAGAAATAGGCCAGCCCAGCAGAGACATGCGCCCTGGTGGCATACCCCGATTGGTAACCGTTGGGTTTCGCAAATATCCGATTGGCCGTCATTCCGAAAATGAATGTGAACCGCACACTGCAAAATGTGGGATCTGTCTCGACATCCGGAAAGAAGCATTCTGCATACTCCAGAAGACTCGTCCATTAAATACGGTATCAATAACTCAGCGGTTGAAGGTTTTCTATATTGTAATTTTGGGGTTTTGCGGGATAGATATTTTGTTCGTAGTCACACTACTCTCATTTGAACGGCCGTTCTCCTGTTCTGGCGTAACTATTCTGATGAGTCCACATCAAAGGGAAGAACTGGACTCGAGTTTCTCTCTTATTAGAGCTCAACAGCAGTGCATATCCAATGGTCGTGCTGGGATTCGAACCCCGAACATTTGACAAGCGAGGCGAGCGTGTATTTTAGAATAGTGATACGCAAGACGTTTCAGTTCGTCTTCCTGGACAGGGATATTAGCTTGGTCAGGCACCGTTCACCAGTTCGGTACGAAGTGTCACCGTTAATCTACTCTTGACAAGCGATATTGGCTGTCAGATGGATGGCCAAATGCACAGGCAGTGGTATGTTGACTACACAACAAGTGTATCAGCAACGGGCGGGCTTAGGTTCTACTGGCTTTCACAAAGTTGCTCTTCGACCAACCTTGTGAGTAGTTTCCTTTATGAAAATATACTGCGATATCTCGAATATCGTGCCAACTGAATCATGAGGCGGCCTCTGTGCAGCACATTCAGTTGTAGAATACCATCAACGAGAGATTCAGTTGAGTCTCTCGTGATAACCAAATTGATTTGCAATTGAGTGTATGTAGTTCTACTGGTTTGTTTACACACACACACACCCACACACACATACACCCACACGCCACTGCATCCAGTGAAGATCGCGCGTGATCCCAGATTCGGAGTTGCGCAGTTAGCAGTTTGGTGAAAGACTATACGATGAGAGTGAAAACATTCGTATGAACCCTCACCATCTGTTCATTAGATATAGAGGAGAAAGTTGATAACTTAGGTTGTTCTGCAGAGTATAGACAGTACCATGGGCTTCGCATGCTGAAACATCGTCTACCCGGGATGAGTGTTGTTCACCGTGCTTCTTTCGGAATGACGCATACGGCAAGGTGTACAACATATAGTTTGTCGGAAAGCTGTGGAGGAAAGTTTAGGTGATGCTGGTGCGGTCCCCTTCTATAGTGGGATCCCCATGAGCCCTACACTTGCCTAGAAACATCACGAGAAATGGCAGATAATCGACGTCAGTGCCGTTCGTGCTGTCCGTTTCTTTTCAGATTGTCTGGTTGAGTGCCCGGAGCTGTGGACCCCTCAGGCCTACACCAGGTTCCTCCCTCTTCGTTCTTTTAACTTTAAGCTTTAGGTATAATTTAATAAGCCTTGTGGTTGTACGCCAGCCAAGTATCAGTGTGAACATAAATGTTGCTGTTTCTGATGATGATGATGATGTTGATCACAAAGCCATGGATACTCGAGGGACTTTATCAGACGCTTGAAGGAAAGGTGTTTCTCTACCGCCAACAACTGCCATGACAAGGAAGTAAATGAATGGTGTTCTCCACGTGAAGATGCATGTGAACTGCATTTCTATGGAATATGAGTGCGTCACAATATGAGGAAATGGATTTCTGAACCAAAGCACGGAACCAGAAAAGACAATCAGAATGATGTTACCTACCAGATACACTGTAGTGGATGCAACAGGCACCAAATTGAAAAAAAAAACAGAAGAAATCTATCTGGTTGTAGTCGTGAGAAGCCATGATTCAGTTTCTTGGATTTCAGTATACAAACAACATGAAGGTCATCCTTCAAGTACGGGAGGCGCAAATACTCTGGCACGCCGAACGAGCAAGGGAATTTCTGGTACAGGATGACGAGCTCAGCTCAAACGACACGTTTAACTGAACTTCATCTGAGCATTTTTACAAGCAAGGGGTCACGAACAACTAGAAGTCAGCAGATGGGCATCAGAAAAAATGGATGAGACGACAGGGCGTGTCCGGCGTTGGTCACGAGGAACGAATCAGAGAGGTCAAGTTCGAAAATCACCTGGACGTCGCCCGACCAGAACAAGGTCACCCACCCATCTCCCGAAACAACCAAAGTGCGAAGCTCAGCGAATAGCCCAGTCAGCAACCATCTCCCTAAACAACCAAACAGCGAAGCTCAGCGAATAGCCCAGTCAGCAACTCTACTCCCCATACCCTCTCTATCTTTCAACCATGTCCCTTCCAGGGAGTAACGTTACTCCCTCAGAAACGCTGTGTGAGACACTACTGACCAGAAACTAAGCCGCTCGGAGTAAACGGAAGCGGACCAATGGCTATCACTTCCGAATATAACCTTGACGATGGGCTGTCATGTTTCAGTTCATATGGATACATAGTTCAACAAGTGAACTCAATTAACCCTGTTGAGAATACGAACAGTGTTTTCTAACCATATCTCACCTTACAAGTATGTCTGTGCAGAAGAATGCAAAAATGCTGCGCTTAGACACCTTTAGATGGTACTTTTGCTCATATGTATAAACGCACCTATTAGTTGAGACTCGATTGAAAACGATTGTTCGCAAAACCATGTGTTCGCAAGTTTGTTTACCGCATTCGAAAATCTACCGCACAAAAGTTTCGACTCATGGAACTTCGTGTTAGCTCTTCACAGAGGCTGCTTGTGAAAACTGTACAACGGCGATGACCCATCGAATATGAGTTTTGGTCACCTCTACCCAGAAGTCATCTTTTAATCGCATTTCGATGCCCATGAAAGGAAAGAAGGCCTTCGCTGAGCAGTCACTTACTAGAGAAACACCGACTGAACAGTTACAGACTATTGGAGAGGGGAGCAAAACTATCATATGCATCTTGTTTGCAACACTGAATATCCATCTTCTCCTTGAACGCGTATTCCTGAATTTTCCTGGATATTCATTGACTGTTACTCAATTGCAAGCAAATTTTAGAAAGCGACCTCACAAATTCCGTAATAGATCTCACTTTTCAAGAGGCGCAAAGCGGATTTACGAGAAAACATACTACTCGCATCCGCCCATCAGTAGTATCCATAGTACACTTCAGAATCAATAACTGCGCTCAACTTCACATCAAAAGGGGAGTGTTTGATTCAACAGGGAAAGGCATCGGTTGAAAGCAGCCAATCACGAGACTACACATAATCACGTATAAAAACTCCACACCGGGCGACGGAACAGAGAAATCAATCACTCATATGTACTGACGGTTTCTTCGTGTTGGTAACTGATCATTCTGCCATGCCGGTATTGCGTTCGGAGGTGCAACATAGGGCGATTCGGCGGCTTTCTCAGTGGAGCTCACTGTCCATGAAACCCTCAGTGATGACAAACGAGTGCAATGCAACATAAGACGATTCGGCGGCTTTCTCAGTGGAGCTCCACGAAACCCTCAGTGATGACAAACGAGTGCAATCAAAACGTTCGTTTGCTGTCGATCAAACGTCCAGCTGAAATGCTGTTTACCGCTGTACTATCTGCCGCACGTCACCAGGACCATCTTAATTTAATAGGCACGCCTCAGCACTCACCCCCTCCCAATGATTAGGTAACTTGAAGATGTCCTCGTCACCGCGAATGTGAATGCATTAAATGGCGTGCTCCGTAAACGTGGGGCACTTTAAATTCATTCCGGCAAATCCCCTGGGAACTAGTTCCAGGTTTTAATTTTAACTGGTGAAAAACCCGGGTTAGCTCCGTCTCGATTACAGAGTCAATAGTCTGCAGTATTTACTCAGTCAATACAATGAATGGAAAAGCGCGATCTCACGCGCGGATAAATGCGTTAACCAATTCTTACTGAAGGTAAGGATGTAAGCAGCGCTTGACCTTGTATAATTATCATATGGAGTGGAGATGCGCCGAATGATGCCAATGCACTCTTTGTCCGTTTTTATACTGGCCATCAGAACTGAGTAGCAACACGTGCACAAGTTAGAACACCTCACCAATTTACCTGGATATTTCCTCCCCCCGGAATTGGTCGTTTGAAAAACGAGTAAAAACTGGATTGCATGATTGTATGATTGAAGAGTGAGGCATGCTATTTCCTGTCCGAATGAAAGCGAACCATACTACTAATAAGCAACCAATCGGTTATTGTTTAACGGTGTGTGCTACTGATGAAACCTGCGAGTAGTATCTGGCCAGGTGTTAAAGCCCCGTCCCTGCAGCTGATGGGAAGTTGATATGGAAAATATTGATCCACTTTGCAGCATTTGTTTAGTATTAAAGCAAACTCCACGAAAGTTTAGGTGGATACTCGAAGAAAGTGACCTTTCAAAAACTGTGCAAATGAGGTTTTAACTTTTATGTCTGATACCTTGTAACCGCTTAGTTCATGTTGGTCGATAATCAGTCGCAAACTCAGGGGCGTTCTTTGCTTCAGTCGTAACCGATACGAACACGGAGAAATGAAGACCGGAATTCCACACCAGATTTCGTGACCATGTTCTCATCAAGACGAACTGACTATGCGGTGTCTCGCCATTTCTCATTATCTATAAAATTGATGAACTAGTATTTAGTTTTTCGGAGATTCAGCGATTTGATAAACTAGCATTTGGTTTTCCGGAGATTGAAAGACTTCCACGGACAATTTTTCCCCTACAGCATGACCTAAACAATGAGTTGACTTACCGTGTGTCCGGATGCAGATCTCCGATGTCGCGTTTGTCTGGCCACCAAGAGTTGCACGACGGGGATTAGGGCAGATTCGCCGGCGGCTTGTTTGTCCACGGCCTCGCTTGACTTTGAGGTAGTTGTGGGCACCTGTTGTTGTGGCTCTTTCGTAGGTGATGTGAGATGACGGAGCACCGAGCGCAACAACCCAAGTGGGTTGCTGACGTGCACCAGGGACACACCATTCACCTCAAGAAGTTCATCGCCAACACGAAGTCGTCCGTCCTGAAAGGACCATAGAGAGACACATTGGAATGGTACTGAAAACTGGTCATCTACCTTAGAACGTAGGTACTTGTGAAAAAAAAACAAGTGTTTCTCAGGAGTCAGTTCATTTGGCAGCTTGATAATCTATCCCATTCATTTACTATTAGGAGGACCAGCTCTGAACGTAACTGGACAACATAACTACCGTTTTTGTTGAGACAGATGTGATTGGTCGTTTTCCACTTGCCAGATGAGTTCTATTTTTAGCATCCCTTTTTTGGCCCAACTAGAACTTCCCACGTAAGCTGCACAGGACACGGCTGTCCGCTTCAGTGTTCACTAGATCAGCTGATCCGCACGTTCATTAACTTTCTGGTTTGGCTAAGCGCATCAGGCCATCAAGCGGCTATCCAGAGTCGGGTTCACGATATTAAGAAGGCGTTAGGAAAACCGCGGTCCACAACATTTACCTACTGCGTCTGCGTGTTGCTCTCCAAACTGTAACCACCATTGTATCTGCCACTCACCTCACCATACTGACCCAGCAACCGATACTCTTATGCGTGTGTGTATGTGTGCGTGTGTGTGAGAAACCATCCATCTTAGCGGAGTACAAGAAGATTAGCATCAAAGACAACAAAAGCGATCGTGCAAGTGTGTCCTTCGGAATCCGACCGCATACTAAAACAGGGTTTGGAACTTATCAGGTCCTCAGAAGAAATTCAAAATTGCCCATCTGTAGGAACGGAAAACCTTCCCGAGCCATTATCGATGTGTGGTCACCGTGAGTTGATGACCTGTCGCTTTTCTACTCGTTGGCTCACGTCCACTAGTCTCCAACCGTCCTTGCCCACATCCACGAACTTAAAGGTGTGTAAATACCTCATGGAGTTACAGGAATGCCCGGGAAGTTTGTGGCATCTACTGTGATCTTCACTTACCCGATGGGCTGCACCATCTTCAATGATGCCTTTGACCAAAATCCCGCCATAGACCGAATCTGCTCCTGCCCACAGTTCGTCAGCCCGACCTAATGTCAGATTGCCTATCTTTTCCGGGTCGCCGTCACATTTATCGGCCAACTTGGAGGCTCGAGACGAGTTGGCCTCTCGCACACTCACACCCAATCGCATGTGGCGTGAAAATGCGTTACTGGAAGTACTCAAGTCGTTTGTCGGTGACTTCCTGTTGACTGGACTGGGGTTGGTTGTGGAGGTAGCTACCGGAACGTTGGCTCCGCATGTGGATTGAAGAGAGATATCCAAACGGAGAATGAAGACGTCCGGATAGGGCTGGGCAGGATAAAGATTGCGGGGGGAGGGGTGAAAATTGAGTGACGCAAAATAATGAGAAACTTTTCCATTTACCAAAGGTCGTAAACTGTGTATGACTGAGGTGAAACAGATAGATGTGATTAACGAAACCAGGTATTCTGTCCTACGCACCCCTTTGCCAAAACTTCCTCGTAAAGGGAAGTATTGTTTGCGGTAGTCTATCTTTCGTCCGACATGAACCAACCTCCCAGTTTCAAACGTCTTCCCACCGGTCCGCTTCTCTTACTACCTATGTAAAGGGATCTGTCCACGCCAATGTTCCGCAACCCTTTACTTGTCGCCAGGGATGCTCAGCTGGGAATCACCCAGAAGCGTTAGAATTGTCGCTTTTCGCAAGGTTCTCTCGTTCTTTGAGAAATGCACCTAACTGATGGCAAAGCAAAGTGCTCAGAATTTTTCGAGGAAAAGAGCATTAGTTATTGTTTTCCTTGCTTATTGGACGAAGAAGGCTTTCAAGGTGGAAATCGGTGGGCATAGAGGCGGTCACGAGTTGTCTCCTTTACTTCAGGCTTCATTGGTGGGAAAGCGATGCGCAGAACCCTGAAAAACCCAACTGGATAACTGTAACAAATGAGGGGATGCGTGATTCAACCTAAACTCCGTTTCAAAGGACTCCGTCTCCCCGATGAATGGAGAACATGAATGACTAGCAGTTGGTAGGATTTAGGAGTTCCTAATGGAAATGCCTTCTTGTGAATGAATCTTAATGAGTCTACTCTGAAAAGCCGAGGGGTACTGTACGTCCACTTCGTCTTCAGTGAGCATCTCACGAAACTCCAGGGAATCTGGAACTAGCACCCTCCCAGATATGAGTTTGAAGTTCTGTCACAATCGGCTAGCTTCTCCAGTCCACTTGTTAGGAAGTTTACCATTGTCCAAATGAGGGCTTATCAAACCGATGGTTGCCGAATGGTCACGTGCTCAACTGGTAGCCGAGAGGCTGCGAGTCCCCTGAGATCCGCACTGCTGACGATTCCCAACAAGCAGGAAGCGGATGTACAGTGCTTTTTGGCTTTTCAGAATGGAGTGGTTTTACTTACAGGACGAAGCCTCATTAGGATTAACTGTGTGTTCATGAAGATTGCTGTAAGGTGTTTATTGGCAAATATCTTTTTGAAAGTGGCTTCGCACCACATCCTGTTTACTGATTTCGCGTGTAGGGAAAATTGATGTACAATAATAAGAGTCTGAGAGGGAACGTATCCCATACAAACTACTGGAAGGATATCAGTAGTCTCATAAAAGTAGCAACTCTTGAGAAAAGGACAGCTGTAATCCTTTTCTGTTAGCGTACCTATACGCACTTGACTGCTGTCTTCAACCACCTGTACAGATAAGATAAGTGTACATCGAACGAGAAGCACCATGGTATAGTGGTTCTCGAACTTTTCATCGCAAAGCTCCACCTAGCCATTCATGCTCATCTAATCCTCCTAATTTCCTATAAATCACGTGACAAGTAGATAAGTAAGCAAGTAAAAGTAGCAGTTGGAACAAAACACAACATCAGAAGTGAGTGCACGTTATTGCCTCATAGAAATACTCCATCGAGGATCGTGTCCCTTGCTAGGAAGTACAAAATGTATATTAGGAGCTATCTAGTGTATGGTCCCTCTGAAGAAAGATCACTTCCAAACTGAGTCCACTGATACTTTCTGCCGTAGGCTTTCATACCAGACCGCTGTGCAGCAAAAACACTGATAAGTGCGACCAGTAGGTTTGTTGGATAGACACCAACTATGGAGGTCACTGCTAGTCATGGAAAATACTCTCCGCACGCGGCACACACCATGTGATGCGAATTTGTAAAAGTACTTCACGCACGACTGGTCAAATCCTCATAGTTTCTGGTAGTTTCATCATGATTTGTAATAGCGATCCCTCAATAAACACAGGAAATCTCCACGAATCGAAACTTCTCCGGAATTCAACACCAAACGGGTATACTGTAGAAAGTCATTCATGGAGACTACCTGTTGAATTATTCGCACGACAGGTTATCAAGCGAACAAATGATGAAATATCACCAATTTCGCATTCGAAAGTCCTGTACATGGTACCTGAACTCTCATCGGTTTCAGTGGCTTTGTGTACTTCCTTTCCCTGGTCAAATTCTTCCCTTGTCTGCTGCTGTTTACTGCGTCTATCTCATGGATTCGGTATGCATTTATTAATCCCTCATGAACTTTAACCCTTGACTTGCCGAACCAGTTTGGTCGGCCATTCTTGACGTGCGCTTTCTGACCATTTGGCGTTACCACATTTTGTACCCAGGCGTGTCTCCCAAGATAAGATCGATTAGCCATCTTCTCTGGGCTTTATTTGGACTTGCACTACTTCGTGGTGCGCTTTTTGACCATTTGGCGTTACCACATGTTGTACCCAGGCGTGTCTCGCAAGATAAAATCGATTTGCCACCTTCTCCGCGCTTTCTTTGGACTTGCACTACTTCGTGCCACAGTTTAGACGGAAACCCCCATAATTTGAGGTTTGTACTTCTTTTATTACGTATTTTATACATGTAGCAACGCATCTTTTGATAGATCTTAAGAATCCATAATTTCTGGCTTGTGATTTTGCGCGTCACTCAAGTGGGCTCACCTGAATACGTCTACACCTTGATTATTAAACTTTTGGTTTCAATTCATGGTCGGTGTGATCCACACCTGCGTGATGTTTACCTAGGGGTAGTGCTTTCCGGACATGACGGTCGCGCAAGACTCCCAGGTGGAGTCGCTTTACGGAAATTAGACATTTTCTTACTTCACTGTACGTCATTACATGTAATACGTTCACACCCATTATCGATTTGTTGCGTGAATTTAAGGAAACGCTTCACATGCACCCCTATTGATTCGTAGATCAGCTAACTTCCACTGATCACGTTTAGTCCACGCATTTACGACTTTGAGCACAGTGAAACACTGGCTTACTCGGAGATGAGCAACATGGCTTTTACCATCTTTACAGATCTTGTTGTCCCGGCAGATCTAGTCATGATTCTGATCTTATTTGTCAACACTAAGCTCGTCTGCTTGCCTCTGAGAGTTTGTTTTATTCATATAGTGGTGACCCGAACGTTACGAAATCACGTAGCGCTTAGCGATGACCCGAAAACAGCTGTGGTTATCCCGTAACTCCAACAGTTTTCAGGTGATGCGGTATTTCTAGCGGTTTGTCACTTACTGGATAGTTTGAAACTGTCACTATGGACGGAAACTCGTTTATCCAATAGGAGGATCGTTCGGGAAGAGTTGGCGAGGCGCATCGATAGGTGGGACGTTCCGTCGGGCGACCGTCAGGAGGTAGGTTTGTGTGGTTTCCAACCGGTGGAAGAGAGGTAGTTGTGTTGGAGGCCGAATGAAACACTGGAAAGCAGGGAAGAATCCGATTCACAGGAGCCTCCGAATGTCTGTGTGATCGAAAGTGTCTGTACATTTCCGGTGTCCATCGTTTGTACAAACAATTGTCGGGACACGGTTTGACGGACGCATCCGCGGATTTGTGAGTCAGACAGCCGGGGCATTGCCTTGAGCTGAGTATAAGATGCCGTGGTACAGTTAGCGAGCAAGGAAGTTGACGGCGAACCAACAGTTTTACCACACTGCCAACTGGCTTCACACGGAGCATGGAAACAATTTGAGCTTGGGTTTTCCCCATGACGTCTTGGTCATCAACCTATAAGGACAGAAATGTGACAGATGTGGAATAGTTCGTATGCACCATATTCTATAGTGATACATATCACAAAGATGACACGTGACGCACCCTCAAAATGCGGTCCCCTAGGCGGAGTTGACCATCCTTCAAAGCGGCTCCCCCGGGAAGGATGTTTTTCACACAAATTGTCATCACGTCCACATTGTTCAGTCCAGAACCCGGCAAGGATTTTAGTGGCTTTGTGGTCAGACTGAATCCCAAACCAGACTGAGCTAAAACGGGAACACAGAGAGGAGAGCGAGGAAGGAAAGAGGGATAGTGACAGATCCATATATCGCGCGTGTCTACGGGTTTCTAGTGAATAGCACGAAAAAAACGGCGTTCATTTTCATAGGGCCTGGGGGATTCGTTCAGCTTGTACCCACATCAATAATGTTTTGCAAGGAGTATTCTGGTTCGCCAACATCAAACAGTCGGGTCAGTGCCCTCGGAAGCGATCGAATTAGCCCTGTTCTCCCAAGCAGTTTATCCAGTCGAGGGAACTTACTCGAAAAGTCTGAAGGAACGCACCAGCCTCAATGGTCGACCAAAAAGTGGTCCATTTTGAAGCGGTGTCTACCCAGTGAGATGGGTACATCAGGCTAGAATAGCTGTCAAGTTCTGTGATTTATAGTGTAAACCAAGGAACAGCCGCGTTAGCGGTACCTTGTGTGTCGGATGTAGAAACGCATGTGTCTCAAGCCAGGAAACTGGACTGAAATGGACTGTCTTACTTTTCGTTAGAGATATTAGCAGGTCTTCCTCTTGTATCCCCACAGGGAAGGATGATTTTTGGCCTTGTATCGCATTGGGCTGTCTCGAACCTCCGTGGATTTGTGCATGCTTGGCACATCTGGCCGAGTGTGTATCACAACTTTTGATCCTTGCTTTCTTGCTGGGACTGAGATTACTGACTGCTGCCAAAGCCATGGCGTTTGCTGCAGCCTGCAAGCGATGATCACGTTCTATGTCCGCCTCAAGTTCGGCCAGCATCAAATGACGTCTGGCTTCGGATTCCCTTCGTTTGGACAGGAGCTCGGTCAGGTGTATCACCTCATCCTCGGCGGCGGCAGCACGAGTGTTTGCATCGTCTTCCGCTCCACTTAACGAGGACCGATCGTTGGCGTCGTGGTGAGTACTCGAATTATCGGAACTGCACACGTTGCCCGTAACTCCTTCTCGGCTACTGGTGCTTCCACAAGTCCATCCCATTGCTCCATGCTCCGGGTCACTTCCGGCACTGCTTCCGCCATCGTAATCATGGTTGCGACCCCCACCACCGCCCGAGGTGGCCTCGATTCCCGAACCGGGGATCTCCACGCCGTCTGCATTGCTTGACGGAGTCAAGAAAGATAACCTACAAGAATCGGACAGAAATTTAGTAAATGAAGTTTCTCCGACAGCGAAATAATGAAGAAAAGTGCTTGGCCAGCTCGAACTCACTTGGTCAGCATTGTGAATGGGGAGCGTTTCGGTGGAGGGGGTTTCATTGAAAAGGCACGTTCCTCATCCATAGACAGTTTGCGCTCGGAGCCTCGGTTAGATGAGTTATCTTGTTGTTCTGCCAACAGGGCTCTCTCTGCATCCGCCAGTTCTTGTGGAGTGTAACCGGGTATGCAGTCCGTTGTGGAATTCCAATGAGCAGGTAACACTGCGGTGCTGGATAGATCGGCGTCTGAACGAGGTGCAACAGTGTGAAATGCAGCAGGCTTTAGTAAGTCTGAAGCTGAGCTGCAGCGCGAAGAGAACGTCGCCTCGTCACTCACACCAGCGGAAGACCTGCGATCCAGTCGAATACCAATACCCTGGTCATCCACTCGAGCATGATCTTTCGTCGTGGGAATTGAGGGCGCTTCTTTATAGGTAGGTGCGTGTGAACTTTGTATGGCAATATTGTTTGAGTGCAGCATTGGTTCAACCTCGCTGGAAAAAAGAAAAAACATTTAGTTAATCGATGCAATTTATCAAGCTGCACTGCATGTTTTGGAATATGGATGGGAATAATTGGAAAAAATGAGGCCAACGGCCATCATTCAGTCTACACATCAGATAGCGATACTTAACCAACCAATGCACACCTACTTAAATCAGTGTTTATTTTACGTGCTACTCATGAGTAGCCGGTACGGGGTCAAAAAAGAGACATGCCGATTATACCCCGGTGGACACTTCTTCCGAGACCACAGATACTCCGCATTGATTTCGCCACTTAAACTTCGCAGTGTGACAACAGGATTTTTTCCCCCGAATTCATACAACGTTGTGAAAACGAGGGAATATCTGAGGTAAACAGGTAGCTCAGAAGAACGTAGAGCAGAGGCATGCAAACGAATTTCATTAGATGAGCGATAAATACTGTTTAGATGTCCAGATTGGTTAAACATTTTGGGTGTGCAAATGATTGAGGACTTCGAGGCCAGATGTCATTCACTTTGACTTACGGGGACGAAACACCCGCTTGAGTCATAGGTTGTTCCCTACAGGGCATACGCCGTATTGTGTTCTGATCCACATCAGATGTATCGTCACCATCAAGCCCACTGGAACTTGGAGACTGCTGTCTAGGTGAAAATCGACTCAAATGAGGCGGAGGTGGAGGAGGCAATGGCGGAGGAGGTGGTGGCGGCCGGGGAATCCGACGGCGTTTTACCTTGCGGTTGGGTCGAGGGCAGGCTGAACCGGAGTCAGTAGATGAATTGCACAGACCAGTACGTTGGGACACTTCTGGACTGTAAAAAGGAAAGTTTAACTGATGAATAAGTAAGCTGTTCAGAGGCTGGTGTAGCGCTTCTCTGTCCTTTCGACGGCGGTCCCTGTAGTTTGGGTGCTGGACTAATGTCGATTACATTTCAATTACTAGCTCACTATTGAATAGTTCGGTGATGTGCACAGATCCAGTGGATACAGTAGCGCTCATTCACAACTCAAGTAGTAGTCTTAAAACAAAACTCACTCCAGCATAGCACCATGGTTCCTTTACGCCTAGAAACTGCTCGTCCAAAAAGTAGGTTTAAAAGACTCGAACTTATGCCGATAGCCACTGACGACCACTTATCAACCGTGAAGTTAGTTCACATCATGAAACTGTTTACCATAGGCCAATATATGCTGCCACAAGACTTCCAGAAGCGATTCCGAGTTAGTTTACGTGTCCACTCAATAAAATAACTGACGAGGTGTGAAAAACTACTGTGGACGTTGAAACCAGCCAATCGGACACTTGATTAAGTAGCTCCAGACAGTTCGGTCGGTCATCGAAGTTCTCGACTTTCACATCGCCCACAAAACCCAACAGTTTGCTATCTAACCAGGACATCACTGAGGTAGAACACTTCTCTTCGGGAGGTTTACATTCACAAGCACTCTAATCACAAAGTGAGACAAAAAATAAGGAATGGAAACGGGAAAAAGAACTAAATTCGTGGCGCACAGGTGAGAATAAGTACGAATTCCAATTAAGGCAACGCGTATCCCAGGGAAGCGACAACATGAGGAGCGAAGACACCGGAACTCCGTTAATATGACCTTTGCGCATTGTCTGTCCTTCCTCACGTGAGGACCACTTTCTAGCAGAGATATGAAGCGTGCCTCAGTGCAGCACATTTGGTTCAGGAACCAAATTAGTGTGCAAATGGGAATATTTAGCGAATTTACGAAACAAATTTTCTTGCATTCGAATTCTGTGTACTTAGCGGAATGAAATCTCCGTCTGGATTCGTCCAACCGGCCACTGAGTTAAAACGCACAGTTAACTCGATCTAATATTGGCACATGAGTCCTGGAGACGATGGTACTTCGAAATGTACCTGATGGTATTTCGCAGGTGGGTTTCGCTCGTTGAAAGGATTTTATTTCCTATCTAAGCTACTTACAGAACGTTGGTAGTGTGAAGATGTTCGCGAAACGTTTCAATGGGGTCAAAACGTGTGGCTGAAGAATGAGGGTGTAAAATCCTGTTTAAGTGCAGGTCAGTCACATTGCTGATCAGCTGCTTGTGGTCGGACGGCTAAGAGCTCAAACTACGAACCGAAATGTGGTGGGTTTGAAACTCCCTGGACTATCGTGAAATGCATACTACCGGTTTGTCATCACCGGAAACAAACTGGTTTGTAAATTATACCCACTGGGTAGAATTCAGGTGAAGCCCAGCACGGTTGCTTGTCTTCAAAACTGGGCACAAATGTCCGGTGGTCCAAGCGTTGTTGGCGGGCAGATCCCCATGGAATGTTGGAAATTCAGATCAGAAGATGCGAGTGTCTCATCGGACTTACTTGTATGATGAAATCTTTGGCAAAGACGTCGATGTCTTGAGTGTGGGCGTACTGTTCGCCGACAGGGATGTTTCGGGCCGGCACACACAGGGTGGAGAACTATGACCGGAATTGTTTAGACCGCTGTCCTCCTCTTCCGGCACAGTGGACAATGCGGACGTATCGGAGCTGGTAGTCATTATCTCGGAGCAACTCATTCCCGACCCAAACAGTCGAAGGTATGGTAATGTAGGTTGGACGGTGGCCGTTTGAGGTAGAACTTCGGAGGCGACCTTGCCGAGTTCCTGCCTTTGCGGTGGTTGTTCTGAGTCGCACTCTGTACTCGCGGTTTGTAAAGAGGGTACTCGTAGACAAGCTTGAAGCACAGGAATCGGATTGCAACAACTGCTGGCTGGTTCAGATTGATAGGGCTATGCAAGGGTGAAACGGATGTCACGTGTGTTCATCCTGTTCGACACAACACGAGTTCACACTCTTATAAAACAATGAAGAACTGTACTAGCTGCTGTGCAGGCTTCAATTTAGTATGTATACATCTGACGTGTTTACCGCTTTCAAGCACTTATGTTGAGACCACTCAAACAGACGGTTTTCTTCTAGTTATCCACGACTCACTGAGGGGATGTAGTTGGTCTAAAGCGTGGGTTCAAAACTTACGACTCTAAAAAAGTAGCCAAGAATGACAAATGCGGTGCAGTCCCACGTAGTGGATAGCAGCGGATCGTGCCAGAATACTAATACTGACCAGATTGTAGGCAGACAGTTCGAAGATGGGCACTATGACAGAGTGGTCGGGTTTGAAAAGCTCTAAGTTAGAACCTTAATAAGACTGTACTGGAGTGAACGGAAACGTTGGCGTTCGGCTCGCGGCAAACGGATCGGCGGTTCTGTCATATTTTCACCATATCTATGATTAGCCTTAGACAGCCCAATTATTCCTACTGTCTACTTGGGCAAAGCTTTCCAAATATGTTGGTTCAATTCTTGATGATTCTCAGTAAGGATGAAGCAGCTGTACAATGCCCATCGGCTTTCCAGTGCAGACTGGATGCACTGGCGGGACGGAACCTCACCTGAAATTTATCAAATCCCCTCACACTACCAACAAGTTGGCAACATTTGTGGGACAGGCCTGCAATGTAAGCACTATGAGCAGAAAATCCTTAGCAATGAAAAGCTTCAAAACTCGTTTACAACATGATCAGACGTGCAAAACTATAGCGAAACGATGTGTTGCTGTGCAACGGTTGTAATGTTTCCTCAGTAAAGCTACGAGACTTGTGTTTTTTTTCAAGAAGGTCAACAACTTTGTTTCAGTTACCTGAAAGTGGCTGTGTGCGCCAAGGAAATTGCGTAATACATATATCTTAGGTGCGACTTTTGGTCTAGCCATCCTGGCAATCAGCTGACTGCTGACTGTTGATAAACTCTGGATATTCGCGGAGGACCTGATAAATGGCCAGGCTTTGGGATGGGACAAGTGGCTTTCTGAGTGACAGTCATCGGGTATAAACTTCGAATTTAACAGAAAATTACTTCACAACCGCCAGGTCCGTTTGCATCAAGCAACTGCTGATAACTAGTCCTGTCTAGCACACATTCCCGAGCAACTTCTTCCCGGCACTATGAACTCACTTATTGGGGTTCATATCAATTAAGTCTCAACAGGCTACATTATGACGGTTTTCGTCTATTATCACGGTTGACTGGTGAACCCACATACTTGACTGCTCAGCTCATACTCGCTCACTGGATCACGAGATTTGTCTTTTTTTCACACTCACAAACAAGTCACATCAAGTCGACCCATCGGTTGCTTGTACTGTCTAATGAGCGCAGCAACAACTCATGTGCTGATACACCCACGTACACGCAAACGGACCTACACATAGGGTAACCGAACACAGTCGACACACAGAATCGCGTGCGCGCATGGAGCAGGAAGTCAACCATTCTTCACAAGTCTACGGACAATTATGGAACACGTGTATCAGTCGCACTGCGGAGAAAAACACGTTCCCGCTGTCAGGAATTTCACCAAGGAACTCTCATGGACGATAAGTTCCTCTTTTGACCTGCTCCCATTTCGCATTGTATTCATTGCTTTACGTGTTGCAACCCACCATCGTCAAGCATGCTAAAAACTTTTATTAGTGCATACACCTGATTTGTATTATGGCCATCATCAACAGTGCACTAATAAACTAGTGATTTCCTGTGTCATTTAAATGCCATTTTCAACAAGTACAGCGCTTCAAAAGTGAACTTATGTCTAGAATAAGAAATGCCGGGGATCCATTCTTCATAAGTGCCGCCATTTGCGTCTATTCAACAGACTGCTCCCATAGTTATTCTCGGCTTTTTGGCTTCAGCTCCTCCTCCTCACTCTGCCAACAGAATTCTTCAATCCTTGTGGTGCCAGCTCAATGGAGCAAGCAGATAGAGGCCCTGATGGTGCTGAGGCATTTGTCACTGGTGATCCTGGTGGTGAGAACTGTGAGATTTTAACGGCTTTCCGGCTACTGGTTCATGTGATTCCTTCCTTGAAAGCTTCCAGTGCCTTCGAAAGTGTCTGTGTAAAGCATGTCATTACTTCTTATCTGGACAGTCTAATACAGGCCTAACTCAGTATCGGCATTTGATGCACTCAAAAGGATGCGTAATTGGCCGAGTTGGTGCCGTCATACTAAGCTGTGTGCTTGGTCTGTGTGGCTTGAAGTTGAAGCGACCTTGACCTCAAGTAATTTCATTGGACGGCTCTAGGTTGGGGTGGTTAGCGCGGCATGTGTTTATTGGTTGTTAGTCAAACAAAACACGATCGACACTTTTGTAGGTAAAGAAGCAGCTAAGAGAGCTAGCACCAAGGATTTCTTCTGCTGACTTACCGAAGTGAGAATGGAACAACACTGCGCAGGAGTGTGGTTTGGCAGTGAGCTTGAAGAGATGAAAGTGGGACGGGCGTCATTTGTGTGACAAAAAATAATTGGCATGCAAATGGTCGAGAACTCACGTCTTCGTGTAGGATTTTCGGAACTTATGCATTTTAAATAAATTTTTATAAAACGTAAAAAGTCACGGACGCTCACACTGAGATCCTAGACAAGGAATCACAATAATGATGACTCTGGTTACATCCCACTGATGCAGCGGGCTTTGGTGAAGAGCGTACAGTTATGCAAATAGTTCTTCAGAACATCGACCGCGGAAATCGCTTCAAAAGTCTCACTTAACATAGTCGGCAGACGTTTCAGTTCCAACACCCAGGAAAGACACATGCTTTGGGTCTTTTAGCAGCTAAACTGCTTAAAACATGATGACAGCCAGAGAGAGAGAGAGAGTTACAGGATGGAAGTCTGAGAATCACGCTCCAAATTAGGTCAGTGAAAAACCGTCCCAACTATGCGCAGTGTGGATATTCCCAAAAAAGGATGAAACAACGATGCAATGCTTCTCGGATTTTCAGTGCATACTGACTCCGTCACGAAGGGACTGGACCTTACCATGGTGTGGTGGTTCGTGTACCTCGGCGACCCATTGAGCTATACTGGGGAGGGTTCGCACGATGCTCACAGATTCGCTCATACCAGGTTGGCCAATGGGTAGAGGTCCGACGAACACAGTCTCCTGGCCCTCCAGGTTGGGGGTTGGAACATGTGGCGACTTGTTCCGTAGAAATGGTCATTTCCAGTGCAACAGCGCTGCTTTGCGGTTAGGTTTTCGAGGCAAAGGCTTTGGTTGATGACCCTAATCGTCCTCCTGTCTAGGTGTGGGCGCCCTGGCAGTATCCCAACCCTCGTACAACATAATACAACATAATGATACCATCACAAACAAGAGATTCAGCTGGGTTACAGGTGAGTCTCTCGCAAAACCGAATTGTCTCGCAAATGAGTGTACTTCGCTAATTTCGTGCAGTTTGGTTTCAAGCAGAACATAAGGTTGACAGAACCTCGGGGACTGCGCCTACCTGATGAGCCCCAAAAAGGGCGAAACTGGTCGTCGGCTGTCGAAGAATTTTCAGCAACCTTATGAGTAATGCATTAATTATATTGACTCCACTTACAGGGCGAAATCTCAACCTAAAATTTTCAATCACGTTTGTGATTGTTAAGAGGTAGGTAGAAAAGGCAGCGAGATTTGCAAAGAGCACGTTAAAAATTTTCGCGCGGCAACTGTACTACAAACAACATGGTGCAGCTTCTGATTACGTTTTGTTCTATATCAATAATTTATGAAATGCTATCGTATACGATGTCCGTTGATCTAGGAAGCCTGACCAAGAATGTTACAATATTAGCATTAGATTTGGTGCGATACATTAATGGGAAAAGTGTACACACTTTGTTGATGTGACACCAATCACGGGATCCATGAAGAGATAACCCATTAATGATGTCGTCTGCATTGAGCTTCATCTTTTCAGACGTACGTGAAGTCCAAGCAAAAACTTTTCCACAAATTACGGGGTCTTACTGGCAGACCCAATTGAGTCTCAGATAAATCTGCTAGTTATACTATTCTTCAGCGAAAGGTTCTGCAATACGGCGATCTCGTACCATTTTCTGTGACTATCACGTCAACCCTAGCGATCACGAAAAATGAGGACAATCCTGACTACTCATTAGTAGCATAACCTTGATGAACTTCAAGTAAGGTAAACATTTTGTTCTCTTGTCCAGTTCTAAACCTAACTTGTTATTGCTGTGACGGCATTTAGCGTCTTCAAGAGCTTTACCGAGTACATTTTTACGGGGTTCACAATCTCTCTCAGTATCCCATTTGCATTCAGCAACTACATGGGCTTGAGCAGACTCATTTCGAGTCCGAGGGGCTTGAGCCGATCGGCACATGACAACATATGACTAGGGGTGAAATAATTCTGGTCTGATCACCGGCTGTAAATTCCGCTGCCAATCAAGATGACATATTGATTGCCCTGTTGGCTGCCCTTATTGAACGTAACATTCCTGTGTGCACTCAAAGAACACACGGGACGTATCAGTCGAAGCTGTCATAAGTGCCATTTGGCCGGTAGACATAACCACAAGGTCTTTCGAAAGGGTGGCTAGGATTCAAGTCACATTCGAAAAAATAAGGTTTGAGAACTGAAAATGAAAAAAAAACGTTCCCACTTCTCCACTCAAAAACGTAACATATTAGTTCACGACCATTCAACTCACCTCATGAGAGGAAAGGCCGCAACAGATCCAGTCTCGTTGGCGCGGTACCTGGTTGGAGTGCCATTTACTCGTAAGTCCAGCGCACTGTTTTCCAACCTTTCGGATGGGTTGATTGCACCCTTTTTCAATCAGATATAGAAAACGAGAGGAAAAATCAATCCAATCTAGCTTACGGTTGTCAACACAAAAGCATTTTAAGCGGAGAGTTCCTGGGGGACTGAAGTTCCGAAGTGAACGGGAACATTTTGGGTGCGAACGCCAACCTGTCACGCACGGTGATCGGTATTCTGGTGCCTCATCCACGGTACTGGCAGTTCTTATCAGCTGGTAAAGTTGCTTTCATGACTTCTGTTGACTTCGACCTGATGTATCGAAAACCGCTAGTGTTGAATGTGGTTAAAACAAAATCCGACTTCAACGACCTACGACCAGTTTCGCACTTCTTGAGCTCATCAGGTAGGCGCAGTCCCCCAGTTTTCCTTAACCTTATGTTCCACTTGGACCAAAATTGCACGAAGCAGGTCGTGGGTTGTGGAGGGATTTTCAGCAACTTTATAAGTAGTGTATTACATGTATCGCGATATCTCGAATATCGCACCAAGTTAAATATGAGCTGGCCTTGTGCAGCACACTCAGAGGCTTAAAAACACCATGAACGTTAGATTCAGTTGGGTTCTAGGTGAGTCTCCAGCGAAACCAAATTAGTTTGCGAACGCGTGTACTTCGCCAAAATCCATGTTGTTATTCCATGGTATTTGTGGAAGTCAGCACCTTTGAATCTCTCACGAACCATTCATGATACATTTGGGAAGCTAAGAATTTCCGTAAAGGACTTTATTTAGAACCTCTGAGCAATGGACACCCTATTCGTGTTCTTTCTCATCGAGGTACGAACTTGCGGGGGGGGGGGGGGGGGG